GATTCCAGTAGGCTCGCCAGCACCAGCCAAAGCAACCATCACTGCATTACCTACAGCGCCACCTGCTGGCCAAGAGGGGGGCTGCAGGAGACCCCAGACCCGGAATGCAAGAGGGGAGACCCCCAAGGCTCCGAGAGGGGCCTCAGAGGCCTTTGATGCTACTGGAATTCAGCCCCTGTCCTTTCACAGCACCAGTGATGCGGGCGGCATTTCTGAAAGCTGCCCAGCACCCCGGGAGTCCTCCGAACCCAGGGCACAGGGCCACGCACGGGGCAAACGCCAGGACTCAGGCAGTACCTCCTCCAGTCTTTACTGTGGACGCTCCTTGCAGACACAGACATGTTCTCAATGCTAAGCTGCTGTGTGCACAGGGACATCTGCGCGCCCAAACGTCCTCTCTCCGCTAAAGAACAAAACTAAGCACTTTAAGCAGCGGGGAGGGGCATTCCTGAACTTCACTGGAAAAGTCCTGACAATGACAGCAGGGCAGCATCGAGAATGAAATTCACAGCCACGGGAAAATTAGATCCAATTCAAGTTTCCCTCAAATAACCCCTCATTCACCAAAAAAACCCCATATGTGTGGCTTTAAGATAAAAATCAGTATGCAATTACAGACAAATAAAAACATAGACTGCAAAAATTGGGAGGAAGAAAACAGACCCATGGAGATGCCTGGCTGGCTCAGTTGGTTAAGCATCTGACTTTGGCTCAGGTCATGATCTCACAGCTTGTGTGTCGGGCTCTGTGCTGACAGCTCAGAGCCTGGAGCCTGCTTCGGATTCTGTGTCTCCCTCTCTCTCTGCCCCTCCCCTTCTCATGCTCTGCCTCTCTTTCTCAAAAATAAACAAACATTAAAAAAAAATTAAAAAAAGAACAGACCCGTGGTTGGCATAGGTCCAGATGGGGGACTGGGTGGGACCCTGTCTGAAGCACGATGGCGCTCACAAGACCACACCTGCAGAAGTCAGTAACTACTGCCAACGAGCAAACTGTGCTGCAGGGTGAACTACATCACAGCAAGACAAAACATCCCTCTACCATCCACAACCAATAGCTGATGACAAACATACACACATAAGGCACAAAGATATAGGTTTTCACTCTCTTACTTGGTTTTTCCCTGGTGCCTATGCTGAATCTGTTTAATTCAGTAAGTGTATATGTGACTTTCCTGTCCAACGAGAGAAGGGAGAGTCTCCCGTCAACACTGCCAATCCGGGCAGGACTGCCAGCACACGGGTGGCAAACAGGAGGAGCAGAAATCAGCCAGCTCAGACCCAAAGTGCAGGTGACTTGCTTGTGAACAGACGGCCCACACTGGGCAGGGCCCCTGTGTCATTACACTACTCAGCACAACCCCAGAGAGCTACAGTTTATAGGACAAGCGATCTTGAGCACTGACCGGAAGGACGTGGGGTGCCACTAACGGCAGAACCGGGAAAGGGTGGCTTTCCATTCCTTCCCCAGGACTGCCGCAGCCCTGCGGCTCCGCTCCAATGAGAGACGTGGGAGCCACAACTTCCTGATCCGCTCACGGAAAGCCAGTTAGGACCTGAAGGCAAAGAAGGTGCCCATCCTTGGAAGGGTTGGTCCTGCGGCACGAGGCCAAGGATCCCGGAACACACCCCAGTCTTCACTCTGTACCCACACTGGTGCGCAACTCGCACAACTCAGGCTGATTCCAGCCCAGAATACAACTTGTAGGTTCGAGAACAGAAAAATAGGGTCTCAACATGTGAATGAAGCAGCCATTCGAACCCTAACCCACAAATTAAAAACAAATCCCCTTTTAAAAAAGCTTTTTGAATTATTTTTAAAAATGAGATAAAAAATTTAGTAAAACAAAACGTATGCTCATTGTAGGAAACTTAGAAGATACGGTAAGGGGGGAAAGATGATAATAAAAACCCAAACCACCACTCTCTGATAACCAGGACTCACCATTTATCCCCTCGAAGGCTGTGTTCTCTGCGTGCGTATAACTTCACGGTTTTCAAATTCGGCATCACACTGAAAACTGCTTTTCTCACATAACATCATACAACAGGAGTATCTGTGTGCAGCAGGGTTCATCCACAAAGACACGACCAGTAGCACGCCATGCAGACACTCGGAGAGTCCCGCGAGGAACGGGCTCATGTAGCTGTGGTGGCTGGCAGGCCACAAGCGGGCTCTCTGGGAATGGGGCAAAGCTGTTCCACGGTGTGAATGTCTCCTGCTTCAGGGAAGCCTCTGCCCTGCTTCCAGTGCGCTTCACCTCACTGATAAGACCCACTCAGGTCACCAAGGATGATGTCCCTCACCTGGAGTCCAGTGGTTACGGGCGCCGGTGACCTCCACAGAATGCCCCACAGCGACCCCTGGGATGGGGCCCACCAGGCCACCACGTAAAATGGGCCATCACGACACCCACATTGGTCACCTTTTTTAAGACAGTCTATAAACATGAGTAACTCTGTACGCTCAGTCTTCCGTCTGATACCCAAACATTTTATGCAAAGACCACAGAAAGCAGGCAGCTACACACAGAAAAACTCAGAAAACTGCCCAGGGTCCCTCTGAGTCTTTGCCAAACAGTCAACTGTCCCCACATGAGCGCAACCCCAACAGGGAGGGACACAGCTTCTGGGAAACAGGCGCCCCTGGAGTGCGATCCCGACAGGGACTGAGATAGCCCTGGAATAAGAGATGCTCTAGACACATCCCCAACAAAGCTGAAAAACATGCTTCTGAAAAATCATACTAATCTGTGATAAATAACTGTGAGGACAGGGGCGGCTGGGTAGCTCGGTTAATGGTCCTGGACTCTGTTTCAGCTCAGGTCACAATCTCATGGTTCGTGGGATGGAGCCCTGAGTCAGAGCCTTGCATCAGAGCCTGCTTGGGATTCTTTCCTTATCTCTCTCTCAAGTAAATAAACCTAAAAAAAAAAAAAAAAAAAAAATGAGAACAAAACTTGGCACTCTTTAAAGGAAGAAAACAAAATCCAGAGATGTAGCTACATAACATCAACAATGTCAGGCATCCAGTAAAAAATTACCAGATATGTCAAGAAGCGGGAAAATGTAATCCCAAATCAGGAGAAAGCAATAGCAAACAGCCAATAACAAACCAAGAAATCAGAGATGATGAAATTGGCAGATAAAGGCTTTACACAGCTATCATGTTTATGAGATATGGAATGTGTTTAGAGAAAAACAATGAAGGTAGAGATCGAGGCCATAAAAAAGAATGAATAGGAATTTGGAGAGCTGGAAAATAAAAAGCGTGCTGATGAATTTAACTGAAGGTTAGACACTAAAAAGGAGAAACGAGTAAATGTGAAGACAGGGAGTTAGACACTGTTCCAAAGGAGGCACTAAGGATCTCAGAAGGGTGTAAATGCAACAGAGGCAAAAGGCAGCTGAGAAACCCCCAGGGTACAAACACGGAGAACACCACACCGCAGGAGGTTGTAATCAGATCCTGAAACTAGTGATAAATATCTTAAAAGCACCTGGGAGAGGGGACCCACCAAGGGGAACAGAGAATACTCACTCACTTCTCATCACAAGACAACAAAATAATGAAACGACATTCTTTAAAACACTGAAGAAAAAAAGTTATCTGGAATTCTACAGACCACAAAAGTATTCTCAGAAATCAGCATCAAAGAAAGACATTTGCAAACCAATAAAAGCTGACGGAATTCATCTCCAGCAGATTTGCACTACAGGAAACGTTAGAGGAGGAAGGAAACGGCAAGACCTGGTGACTCTCTGCCAAGACCCCTCCACTTCCAGGCCCCATTTTGCCCCCTTTTCTTTTTTTTTTAAATTTTTTAAGTGTTTATTATTGAGAGACCGTCAGAAATAGAGCACGAGCATGGGAGGGGCAGAGAGAGGAGGAGACACAGAATCCGAAGCAGGCTCCAGGCTCCGAGCTGTCAGCACAGAGCCCAACGCAGGGCTCGAACCCACAAACCGCAAGACCATGACCTGAGCTGAAGTCAGATGCTTAACTGACTGAGCCACCCAGGCACCCCCCATCTTGCCCCTTTCTGACCCAAGATCCACCTGCAAGAACTGCTCGTCTTCATCAACAGGCTTGCCCCGAGAACTGCTGACCGTGAGCCCCCCTACCTAGTACGGCTGTCATGACCCCGTAGTCTCGCCCACCTAATCTCATGGAACGAACCCTCCCTACCCTACATTTTGTGTCGCCGCAGGCTGTCTGCTTTGCTTGTCACCGTTACCAAAGAGCTCCATTCACAGACCCTCTCACTTGCAGCAGAGAGTGCGACGAGAGGGAAGAGCATGGAGCAGTTACGGGGGAGAAGGGACAGAGGTGGAGAGCGGACTGTGCTAGAAGAGAGGAGGCCAGAAGCAGCCGTTGCCACCACCTCGCTTGCACACAAGGAGGTGCCAGATCTTCACACGGTGTAGCCCTGCTCAGCGCCAGGAAATAGAGCCCCTGGAAAGGGAGGAGAGTATGGCCCCAGGCACGGGGGGATTCCAGCATGGCCACACACAGGCTGCAAGACCCCAGGCTCAAGTGACAGTCACAGAGGACTTCGAGGCAGGTGCTGCATTATCACCTCTGCTCCACAGGGGAGAAAGCTGACACACAGGTTGGCTACTTGCCAACCACCCCATTCACGACATGGCCATCTCCCAGGGGACTCCAGGTACACAGTGGGCACATGTCCCCACAGCACCAAGACACAGCCTCCACACAGGCGGGCGGGTTGAATCAGGGAGCCCGGTGCTCTCATTCCGGCTCTAGCTCTCACCCGGCTGCACAAGTGGGGTGGATCACGGCCCCGCCTTATGGGGAGGACAAGAGGATGAGGACAGAAGCAGATTGGCCTCCTGCCCCATATGGGCACACTACTGGGACGCACCACAGCTTGGGACCTAAACGTGGAGAGTCGGTGTGGTACCAAGCAGGAACCAGGGACGACCATGCCACCCACCGGATGTCGAGCAAGAAAGAAACCGCAAAGGAGGAATTCTTACCTGGGAAGGGCTGGTGGCCCTTTCGCAGCCTCCGTGGCACCTGCACACGCTCCCGCAGGCTCTGCCTCCACCGAGCTGGGGGCCACCGCCGGCTCAGCGTCCCGGGGTCCCGGTGGTCCTGGAGGCCCGGGGTCTGTGCTGGGGCCGACCTCCACCTCCTGCCCCGCGGCCGGCACTGGCTCCTGCTCGGCTGCGGCCACCGCGGCCTCCTCCACCTCCTTCCTCCTGGCCTTCTCCTCCAGCTCCTTCCTCCTCTTCTCGTCATCCTGGCGCGCCATGTGCTCAAAGGCTGTGAACACCTACAATCAAACAGCAAACTGGCCGTGAGTTTCCCGACCGGTACTGAGCCACACATGCCATGCAAAGGTGGTCAAACGTGGTAAGTAGAGAATGGAAAACTAGTAGACCACAGACGTGCTCCCCCTGACAAAACGCAAACGCACTTCAACTTCACCAGGAGCTGCCGTGAAGGAATCTCTAACAGGAGTTCCAAATGCGCAGAAGGGAAACCAGGTAAGCCAACGCTCATGGCACCTATGCGCCCACCGGCTAACTTCTGGGTCTAAAGGACACGTAACTAAATGGTCTCACCTGTCCTTAGTTCTTTTTACAGCCCCCGGTGAGACCTGCTTGCCACGGGAAGAAGACACCGTCCTGGTAGCAAGAGCTGTAAAGACGCCAACAATTCAGACTCGAGAAGAGAAAACAGGAAATCAAGTTGAACCCACTCAGTACAGCAGAGTCACCAGACAGCTGCCGTCTTCCCACAACGCACAGGTGGAAGGGGTGTGGCTCTTAAAAAACGTGGGAATTTCATCCCCCAGATAGCCATGCCGTGTCTACAACGAACAAGGAACACAAAAAATCCAAGTAACAGCTCCTACCCTCTACGAACTCAACATTCTGGTATGAGGACCAGCCCCTACTCTTTTCTGGGACGGTCACACCCACACAAGCGCTCGGACTCTCCACCTGAAGAGCACACAAGAAACATGGCATTTCGTATGCACCTTTCAAGGGCGCACACAACTTCCAACATGGCTAGCACAGACCCGTCCATGACAGCGCCACTGGGAGAGACCGTGAGGAACCGCTGCGGTACCTCGCTGTGGGCGCACAGATGCTCGCTGCAGGTCCCAGAAATCTAGGAAGTTCCTTGGAAGGAAGGGGCTCGGGTAGACCTTGAAGAAAAGGAACGTGTTACCCTGGGGGCTACAAGGGGCAAGACCAGAGCTCCGAGGGGTGGGGCCATGGGGGGGGGTTGCTCCTCTGGCAACTGGAGGCGGGAAGACTGGGAGAGCCTCCCTGGGAGGTTGGAGGGGCCCAGCTAGTAGCCCTGCTCCCCACAGGTCCACACAGAAGCCTCAGTCGTAGCTGCCACAACCTGGGAGCAACCAGAATGTCCCTCAGCAGGTGAATGGATACCACATGGCGGTCTGTCCAGACAGTGGAGTATTACTCAGCACTAGGAAGAAATGAGCTATGGAGCCGTAAAGAGACGAGAAGGAAACTTAAATCATATCACCAAGTGAAAGATACCAATCAAAAAAGCCCATACATGTTCTGTAGGATTCCAACTCTATGACATTCTGGAAAAGACAAAACCACAGGACAGTAAAAAGTTCAGTGGTTGCCACGAACGAGGCAGGAGGGAGGAATGAGTGGAACATGGCAGATTTTCCTGGCATGAAAAATACTCTGTGTGACAGACACCAGTTAAACACTTGTCCCTACCTCATAAAATGACATCACTAAGACTGAACCCTAAAGCCAACTATGGTTTGGGTAGTCTGACACGAAACACAGGTGCATCGACTGTACCACAGGCACCATCTGGTGGGGATGCAGGTAATGGGGGAGGCTGAGGGGACAGGAGGTACATGGGAAACCTCTGTACTTTCCCCTTCAATTTGCCTTGAACCTAAAACTGCTCTTGCAGAATGGTCAGAAGCAGGTCGGAGTCCCTTTCCAAAGGACAGGAATGCAGACATACGTTAAATAATCATGTTCCACATTCCATGTGCTGAGCAGGAAGACAAAACAAAAGGTCTCTAACTAACTACTGAACTATGCCAAATGCTTTCGGATTCCCCAAAACCTTCCCAAAGATGCTGTGAGGAAGACAGCACTGACATTTCCAACATGAGGAAACACTAAGCTCAGAGGAGGTAAGTGTCTTGTCTGAGTCCTGCAGGCGAAAGAGAAAAATAAAAATATTACAAGAACACTGACGTCAAAAGGCCACGTCGGCAGAAAGAAGCAAAACCCTAAAGCTGAAACAAGGCAACAATTCCAGACCCATTTCTACTCCTTCAGAGAACCTGAGCCTGACAACATTTCACACCCGTGCTTGCAACACCTGACTTCACCCTCACAGCCATACAGCCCCGGACACCCGAGACCCTCATCCTAACTTCACAAAAAAAAGGAACAGCAAGGACTCTGTCTCCTCACCCCCCGGGACCTCCCCGGCCCCTGGGCCTGGTACTCCTCGCTGCATCCACCACCTCTGCTGACTCAGCCCCCTACCTCCTCTAACCTGCCACCCGCCTCCCCTGTCCTTGGCTCCGGTCGTTACAGACCCAGGTGCCTGCTGTACGACCACAGCACCATGGAGCTGGAGGAGAGGTCTGTGACCTCCAATCCACTTCTCTACTGACAGAGAGGAGACGACCCTCCCAGCAGGTCCGGTGAGGACAAGTGGGGAGGCTCTCCTGATTCTGGGGCAAGAGACCTTCTACTAAGCAGGCTTCTCAAACTGGACCCAAGAAAAGCAAAAAGTATCAAATGAATGAAGTGTCACTGTAAACTATTTTGTTCTTAAAACACATAAAAGGGACATCTGGGTGGCTCAGTCAGTTGAGTGTCCGACTCTTGATCTTGGCTCAGGTCATGACCTCAGGGTTCGTGGGATGGAGCCCCACATAGGGCTCTGTGCTGACAGCGCAGAGTCGGCTTGGGATTCTCTCCCTCTCTCCCTCTCACACGCATGCTAAGTAAATAAACAAACAAACAAAAAATACACTAAAATATCACGGCAAGGAATACAACTTGCACGTGCATCTTTCCTGCTGAAGGTCGTCCCTCAAGCTCTGCACCCAGGCTGGCCAAGCCCTTAGAATTAGGAGAAAGAATCGTGCATCACACCAACAGTCCAACCTCAATATATCAGGACACTTTCAAGTTCCAGAATGGAGCACCCCAGCACTCCCATCTGAGCCCTGCTTGCCTATGTTCAGGACAGACTCCAACCACCCACCTGAGGTGGGTCTCTTGCCCACCTCAGGAAGGGGTCTCTTGCCATCAAGTCAGGTGCAGGGAAGAAAACCCCTAAGAGGCAAACGAGCAGGGATGGGGGGTCAGGAGGACACAACACCAGGAAGGAACACCGTGCCACAGCAAGTTACTCAGTGGGACTCGGCATCTTAATGTCCCACCCACAACGGAACTCCCGTCCAACACTGAACTCACGAGTCTCCTGCCAAATGCCTCTGTGGCCAGAACAGTCCCCCCAGGATTCACCCCCACCCACCCAACAAAATGCCCTGGGAACATCTGCTTCTTCAGAGTCCCTAAGGCATTGCTGACTGCTGGGAACAAACTGCAGAAACACCGCTCCTCTTAACCATCACTAGGAAGTGTCCCCTGGGTACTGCCCTGCCCACTTCCTCCCCTCCCTTACTGCTGCTCAGGCAGCCTCCTGCTTCTCCCATCCCTTCACTGGGGACACCCCTCAAAATACTGCCCTCCACCTTCGGCTCTTCTCTTCCCCTCAAACCACTCTGGTTCCTCCATTCCGTGGTTCCAGAGCCTGCCAGCAGGGACTCTTGTCTGCAATCTCAATCCTAACTTGTCTGAAACTAAGCTTTTCCCCCTAAACTCAGGGGACAGTTCAATTAGTGCATGATTATTCCAAGTTTGAAACCACGGGTCATCTGTGACTCCTCCCTTCCCACCTCCTCTTCCTTACACTGCTCACCAGGTACGGACATACTTCATCCCTGTTACTAGAAAAATGAATTCCCTCTGCCCATTCGTGTGTGAGACAAGCGCAAAGACCCACCTTTCAGAATATTGGTACTAAACAAGGTTAACACCCAGCACGCTAACCAGTACATACCCGCTGCTCAGTAAATGTTCCTTTCTCCTCCACATCTTTTCTGCAAGCTACTGTCACCCCAAACAACAGTCTTCCCGCTCTACTATGTTAAGATCTGGACCCATAAAGATGAAGTTCCGAGTTCCAGCTCTACGGTAAGTTCCATCCAATCACCTAACCTTGCCGAAGTGGCACCCTCATCTCACATAAAATTCAACCCTGTTTCCCTGGGGCTTGCATGAAAGTGATAAGCTACCCTTAGCAGTCTGCCAGAAACCATCTCTGACGGTCCTCTGATCACCCAGATGACACTCAGCCACCAAAGGCACGAGAAACAGCCTCAGTTCCGACCCAGAGTACCAACACCGCCGATTCATCTTCAGTAGTCACTCAAACACCCTAAGCTTTCGCTTCTCCACAGGAGCACCAAGAAAGTCACGGCCTGACCACTGGACACTCCACCGAGAAAGTAACGGCCTGACCACTCGCTCAGGCTGTACACAATCTGTAAAGCCCGGGGAGGTATTACCAGCATTTCCATCTACCCAGGCTCAACGCTTGGCTGAAGACCTGCTTCCAATCCCGTCAAAAACTCCACCTCCCCTACAAGCCCTTTTTCCTGATTTCCACACCACGTCTCTGACCCCTTCCCGGCAATGGGCTTTGTCACACAACCGGCCTCACACAGTTCTGTCCCTGTCTGTGCTCTGTCTCCCCGACAGGAAGGAAGACGTCGCAGGAGACTCGGAGCCGTGCACTCGGACTGTGCGCCTCCAATGCCTGCGGCAACTGCGGTGTAGCACCTGCTTACTACGGGGACGCTCCTGGGCACCCGGTCGACTTCGACGCCCGTCCAGCGCTCAGCGAGTTCGCCCCCACGTGAGAGGAGGACGGCGAACACGGCCTCGAACCGCCGACTCCGCGGCCCCCCTCCCGCCTCCACGCGTCGTGCCTGTGGGGCGCACAGGCGCCCCCGGGGCGTCCCGCTCGGCCCCCCTCCCTGCCGGGCCGTCCTGGCACCTCCAAGCGCCCCGAACGCCGAGCCAGGCCCGCTCCCGCGGGACGGTAACTCGACACCCGAACGGCGCCTCGGCTTACTCGCAGGCGCGGCCGCGGGAGGCTGGTGGGGGGGGGGGGGGGCGCCCGAAGGGAAACTGAGGCCGGGCTCCGCCGCCCCCACCCCCACCCGGCCCCGGGCCCGAGCCGCCCGCCGCGCGTTACCTGCAGGACCAGGGCCTGCGCCGCCCCGGGCGGGAAGCCCATTCGGTCGGACGGATGGCGCAGCAGGCGGTAGAAGTCGGTCTTGCGGTAAAGGAAGCCGAAGAGCACTCGCAGGAAGTCCTGGACGTTGCCCACGTGCTGCAGGATGCCCAGCAGGGCCTGGTCGTACAGCTCGGCCGCTCCGGGCTCCATGGCGTCGCCGGCCGGAGGGACTGTGCTCACTGCGGGCGCGGCCCGGACGCCGGCCCACGGCCACTTCCGGCACGCTGCGCTAACGGCTCCGCCGCCCGGCGCGACTTCCGGTCCGCGCTCGCTCCAGCCCCCCGCGGCCGGGCCGGGTCGGGCGGCAGCGGAGCGTCCCCGCCGAGGGCCCCGCCCCGCCTCCCGGCCGGCTCTCCCGGGCGGCCCCACCAAGGGGCGGTCTTGGGCCCCGAAGTGGCTGCTAGGCGCGGGAAGGCCCGGGGCGGCGGGACCGAGAGCGCCCGGCAGCCATGTTGCAAGCGGGCGGAAGAGGTTCTGTTCGGGCAGCGTCATGTGATCCCCTGTGTCGTCACGAGGTGGGCGGGGTGCCGCCCTTTGCCAGCAGGGAGGCTGGCGGGTCGGCCTGGATGGGGCTGGCGGTGTGTCAGGCTCCCAGTGACGTGCAGGCCGAGCGAGCGCTACGTGTGGACGCGAGTGTGGCAGAATCTGTGAACACGCGCGGCGTGCATCGTGTCTTCAGTGTCTGTCACTATAATCCTCATTCAGGTACCCGATAAACATACGCCAGAGGACTATCGAGTTAACCGAGTAACCAGTAATATGGTAAAGCGGGTCCCAAGAGTATTGGCAGGAAGCGGGTATTCATAAACATTTCGAGGAAACCGAGTAAGATCGTTAGGATGGGTACAAAGCTGGCCGGTGTCCCGCAAAATAATAAAACCGTAGGTTACCTTTTCTACTGGATACAAATGATTTCCATGACAACTGGACTAAGGTCTGCAAATGAACACCTATCTTCAGAGTCAACGGGCTCCAATTAATTGTAAATAAAGTCAGAACCAGAACCAGATAAATCACCCTAGGGCAATGGTCCTGAAACCTCTGGGTCATTTACACTCCAGGGGAACCTGGGTGGCTCAGTCGGTTAAGCATACCACTGGATTTCAGCTCAGGTCATGATCTCACGGTTTGTGAGAGCCCACACTGACAGCGAGGACTCTCTCTCAAAATAAACTTTTAAACTTTTGGGATTCCCCCCCTCAAAATAAACTTAAAAAATTAAACATTTATTGAAGACTCCAAAGACCTTTGATGTGGGTTGTGCTTATAGTTACCATAGTGTGTTATCATTTTCCTAATGTTTATTTTTGAGAGAGAGAGCTCAAGAAGGGGAGGGAAAGGGAGAGAGGGAGAGAGATAATCTTAAGCAGGCTCCATGCTCAGCGCAGAGCCCAACTGGGGGCTTGATCACATGACCACGAGATCATGACCTGAGCTAAAATCAAATGAGTTGGACTTTTAACTGGCTAAGCCACCCGGGCACCCCCACATGTTAACATTTTTGTGAGGAAATAATGTTCTTCAAAGCAATGAAGTGTAGCGAGAAGCGTAGCATAGTTTTACATTTCTGCAAATCTCTTTAATGTCTGGCTTAATTGAAGACACCAAGATTCTCACATCTTTTGCATGCACTGAATTGCAATATGTTGTTTTGATTGAAAAATACGAAGAAACCCAGTCTCACACAGATTGTAATTGGAGATGAGAGGAATATTTTAATTGTCTTTTCAAATAAAAGTATTTTTTTTTAAACCAAAATTGAACAGGTGGTAGTTTCTCAACAGTGGTAATACGGAATCTGAAACAATATCCATACCCATGGTATGTCCTGCACTTTGAATGGATCTTTTATATGCATGGTTTTGTAACACCAGACTGGAATGCAGAACGTGACAAAACAATCAAACTGTGTTACAAATGTAAGAAGCAGTGAGGAGGATGGTAGGAAAACACGCTGACCTAAGTGACTTTGGAAATGAATGGAGTCTAAGACAAAGGGCAAAAGGAATGAAAAAGGGCCGCTTCGCTCTACAGCTGTTTGCCATGGCAGTGTGGGCTGTCATCTCTGAAAACACTAAGCATATACAGTGGAAGGCAACAATTAGGCAGATCGAGTTGGGGGTAAAGCCAGGCTTCTTGCTGTTGGCAGGAGAGGTTACAGAGAAGCAAGGGAGAAGTCTAGAAGTATTCCTGAGGTGATGAATTCCCCCTGGAGGCATCAGCAGGAACTCCAATTTAGCTTAACACAGCTATAGATGGCTACGTATAGGAATATTTCTAGAAATGTGTACATATAGGGGCGCCTGGGGGGCTCAGTCGCTTAAGTGTCCGACTTTGGCTCAGGTCATGCATGATCTTACCATTCGTGGGTTAGAGCCGAGCGTCGGGCTCTGTGCTGACAGCTCAGAGCCTGGAGCCTGCTTCGGATTCTGTGTCTCCCTCTCTCTCTGCCCCTGCCCCGCTCATACACTCACTCACTCTCTCTCTCAAAAATAAACATTAAAGGGGCACCTGGGTGGCGCAGTCGGTTAAGCGTCCGACTTCAGCCAGGTCACGATCTCGCAGTCCGGGAGTTCGAGCCCCGCGTCGGGCTCTGGGCTGATGGCTCAGAGCCTGGAGCCTGCTTCCGATTCTGTGTCTCCCTCTCTCTCTGCCCCTCCCCGGTTCATGCTGTCTCTCTCTGTCCCAAAGGTAAATAAACGTTGAAAAAAAAAATTTTTTTTTTAAAATAAATAAAAATAAACATTAAAAAAAACTTTTTTTAAGAAATGTGTACATATATGTGTGGGTTCACACACACGTATATTTCCTTGTTGTCTCAGCTGAGAGAGCCCAACAGCAACAATGCCCCAGCAGCAAAGCATACATGGAACACCAGATCCTGGGTTCTAATCCCATCTCCAGTAGAACGGCCAGGGCTCCTTGGAGAAATGACTGATCCTAGGACCGGGGCAGAAAATATACAAGCTGAGCCTGGACCAACTCGTAGTGCCAGAAAGCAAGGTAAGTGCTCAAAATGGGAAAACCCTCCATGCTGGGGGTGTGACAAGGGACAGGAGCCAACAGAAGGAGCCCCCTGGGGGGGGTGCCTGGGGGGCTCAGTTGGTAAAGCGTCCAATTCTTGGTTTTGGCTCCGGTCATGATCTCAGAGTTTTGTGGGTTCGAGCGCCGCATCAGGATCTGCACTGGCAGCACAGAGCCTGCTTGGGATCCTCTCTCCCTCTCTGCGTGCCCCTTCCCTGCCCGCGTTGTCTTTGTCTCTCTCAAATAAATAAATAAAACTTAAAAAAAAAAAAAGCTCCCGATAGCCCAAGCTGGAGCGATCTGAGCAAGAAAATAAAGTAGTGCCATATTAGAACGCAAAGCACAAAAATGAGTATCCACGACTCCATACTGTATATGTCATAATAAATAAATAGATGCAGGAGAATAGACAATCTTTCTGTTAAGAAGAGTTCCAAATTTATGTAAATACTCCACCCTCCAGAAGGTGGGACGTAACTCCCCACTCCCTAAGTGTAGGCTGTGCAGAGTGACTTCCCTCCAAGATGCACAGCACGGACAGTGTGGACAGGGGCAAAGGATAACTGTGGAAGAGATGCCAGGCAGACATGACCTTGGCCAGATGAGGAGACTCAATGCCAATGGTGGGAAGTCATGGGGACAGTGTGCACCCCTTACGTGTGCCAAGAAGGGTGCTGCACCTCTGAGGTCTCCCTGCCAAAAACCCATAACCTTGGTCTAATCGGGAGAAAAACACCAGACAAATCCCGTTAGAGGGATAGACATTCTACAAAATGCCCAACCAGTCCTCCTCGAAACCGTCAAGGTCATCAAAAACAAGTCTAACAAACTGTCACAGCCAAGAGCCTAAGGAGACGTAACAACTAAATGTCACATGCTCTCCTGGACAGGATCCTGGAACAGAAAAAGGGACACTAGATAAAAACTAAGGAAATCTAAATAAAAGTATAGACTTTAGTAGTAATTATCAATACTGGTTTATTAATTGTATATTGACAAATGTACCATACTAATATATTGATAGGGTAAACTGGACGTGAAGTATGCAGGAACTTTCTGTACTATCTTTGTAATTTTCCTGTAAATCTAAAACTATTCTAAAATTGTAAAAAGGTTTCTTTTGAAAAATGTATTTAAAAATGATTATCACCCACAATGCTACCCTTTCCCCCAAAGAGCAAGTGGACATACAGTGTTGTTGGTACGGGGAGGGAGGCCCCTCACCGAGGCCGGTGGGTGGGGTGTGAATAGGGCAGCGCTTTCCAGAGGCAGCTGTGGGTCCCCTGCAGTCCCTCGACACTGCCTCCAGGCAGCTCTCCCACACCTACAGACACATCAATGCCTGCTCAGCCTCACAGAGTTTCATCTTCTGCACCTGAGATCCCCTTGGTGTGATGAATTTCAGAATTTAGAAGGTTTTTAGGAAAGTAATTTGATGCTTACACTGCCTTAGATATTACCCCCCATCAGGGCCCGGGGCCGCACACAGCACACAAAGGCACAAACGTGCCAAAATATCTGACTGCTCACATCAAGGAGACAAAGGGCGTAAGGACCCCAGTCGTAAAGGTGTAAATAAACACCTCTCATCTGGTCCAATGAGATTGTCCCAAATGTACAAGAGAAAAAAAGCAAACGCAGTTTTCAGAGATTTGGGGATTTGGAGATTCCACAGAAGTGATTGGCACTATACTGGAAAACAACTGGGACCAATCTGCCCACCAGCAGGGAACAGACAGAATCATGGTGTTCGTGGGGCCAGGCCGGCTCAGTCGGTGGAGCACCTGACTCTTGATCTCAGGGTTGTGAGTTCGAGCCCCACAGTGGGTGGAGGGATTAGAAATGAAACCTTTAAAAATAAAGCAATCGTGCTCATTCATGCAATGGAATAATCCAGGGCAGTCGCAGTGACTGGACCACAGGGACCAACGTGAATAAATGCAAAATGCATGGGGCATGGGGGAAGCTAGTGAAGGGATGTGTCAAGTCATTTATGGAAGACGTTTAAACGTGGAATGATACTCTATCTCTGTTCACATATAGACACGGAATTAGAGTGTAAAAACCTGCTCCGGGAAGACATACGTCAACTTCAAGAGACAGGAACAGACCACACCCATGCTGCCACATGCCTCCTTCATCCTAATCTTGTCCTCCTGGGTCCCACCTGGTGGCCAGAGACCAACCACCCGCCTTGGGCACTCCCATGGCCACTGCCTCTCCTAGGCCCTGAGTGGGAGGACGGGTGAAGGGACCCCCATTAGGGAAGCTGCACAGCCCCAGGGGTCAGGGCTGGTGAGCCAGGACAGGAGCTCTGGCCTCCTCAGAACTCCTGCCCACCGCGGGACAGAGAACCGACAGCACCACCCATGCTCTTGGCAGGATGTTCAAAGCCATGGTTGATGTAGGTGCTGCTGGCTGTGGATGTCGGGGCCTGGTGGGTCGGGCAGGAGGCCACCCTGGCCCTGGCGGCCTCCTCCATCTTCTGCTCCAGCACTAGAGCCACATTGACATCGGGCCCTGCAGAGGAACAGCCCCAGAGGCCCAAGTTCAGGGAGGCCACGTGCTGGGCAGGAGATGGTGCGGGGGTGGGGGAGGGCCCCCTGGGTTGGGACTGCTGGGAGTGGGTGGGGGAGGGCCCCTGGGTTGGGACTGCTGGGAGCGGGTGGGGGAGGGGCCCTGCTGTGCTGCAGGCCAGCAGGTGCGGGAAGGCCTCTGGGCACTCACCCACGAAGCTGAGGACGACTGGCAGGAAGACCAGGCCGTGCAACAGGCCCAGCAGGGTGATGAGGAGGTTGAGGCGGAAGAAGAAGATCTGGATGAGCTGCGCCTTGGCCAGGCCCAGGACGAGGATGCCCGGCAGGTTGGTCATGGCCACGCCCGCGAACACCTGGGGGTCACAGGCCCTGTGAGACGGGGGCACAGGGTGGGGGGGGGCGGGAACTGCAGGGGGGTGGCCGGCCCACTCACCGCGCTGCCCATGAAGATCGTGGCCTCCTTGGCCCTCTCCAGCCGGGTGAGCCGGGTGCTGATGGCAAAGGCGCGGGTGATGTGGGACACAAACTCCACGGAGATGCCCACCGCCTGGGGGCAGAGAGGGGCGTTAAGGCATGCGAGGGCCGGGGCGTGGGGTCTCTGGAAGGAAGCAGAGTGTCCGGCGTGGCGCATTACCGTGACCAGGTTGATGAGGGACACGGCGTTGTAGCTGATGCCCCACAGGGCCATGAAGCCCACGGTGTCCACGAGGATCATGACGATGGAGAACAGGTTGAGGAGGCCGGAGCGCAGGTCCATGCCCAGCAGCAGGCAGCAGACGGCGAACGTGGGCAGCAGGCACATGGCAAGCATGAAGAGGCCTTCGGGGACCACCATCAGGTACTGCTCGTAGAACACGTTGGTGATCCTGTGGGCGGGGCAGCGGAGCGCTGTCACCGCTGGGGGCTCGCCACTTCCCGCCTCCGGCTCAGGCTCCAGGCTCCCGGGGACCCTCCCACCCCTGCCATGGGCCTCACGTGTAGGGGAAGACCTCGAAGGCCGGGTCGGTGCCCGGCACCTGCCGCAGGTGGGCAGTGATGTTGGCCGCCAGTGCGCGTGCCGCCCGCAGGGCCTCCGTGTAATCCTGTGAGTTCCGCAGTGGCTTGTGGTAGGCCATGAACCTCGAGGCTGCGCCCCCGCGGGGCCAAGGAAGGTCAAGGTCACTGCAGGCGCCCTCAAACCCCAGGGACACTTGGGGGATGGGGCTGGGCAGCCACCAGGATGGAATTCTTAACTTGTGAGCGAGGGGCCCTGCCTTTGGGGGTTGCACCCCTGTGGGAGGCCCGCCCGGCCTGACTGCCACGGGCGCAGCCTAAAGACACCAGGATAAACCCAGATGCTGTTGTCCGGGGTTTCAAAACATGCATCGGATGTTTCAGATTAATTCAATTACTTTTTCGATGTGCGTCTTCCTAGAGGGAAGATCCAGAAAGGGAGACAAAACCCTGCAAGTAGTTCACCTGACAGGGCTGTGCTGTGGGTGACCCCTGGGCAGGTGCAATAGCCATTCGCTTAACCAGGTGACCGCCTCTGGGCGTGATTTGTGCATGTGAGGAAGGGGTGTGGGTGGCTTGGTGCGGCACCAACTGGTGAGAGTCTGTGAATGTCTCACCGACTGAGGATTTGGGGCAGGGCGTGGGGGAGAAAAAAGCAGGGCACACAGGGGTAAAGTCTGAGAACGTGGAGCTGGGTAACACGACCTCTGAGGACAGGGCCAGGGAAGGCCAAAGCCCCCACGAAGGAGGGAGGAGAGAAGACTGGAGGCTGAGAGGCTCTTCCCCGGGGCTTGCAGGGACCCACCCCCCCGCCCCCGCCACTGCCCTGTGAGCAGCTGACTCTGGTCTTGCCTACCAGGTGAGGTCACGCTTACCTAAAACTTGGTTACCAGGTCCCAAATCCACGGAGGTGCTATACGCTGCCAGTCCACTGCCGGAAAGTCAGAGCAAAGGCTTCATCAAGGCCATGGCCACACTCGGGGACCGTCCCCCGCCAGCACCCACCCCAGGCTTACCCTTTGGGACACTTGATGTTGGGTGGGTCCTCCAGGAACCAGGGCAGGTATTTGTGGAACTGGTCCACTGATGGCCGGACGGGGCCCAGAGTGAAGTTCACACAGCTCTTCAAGCAGGCCAGGGAGTCTGCAAAGAGAGCAGGGGCTCTGGGCAGAGGCGTCACCCCCCCTCTGGCTCCATTCCCACCAAGGTCCCCACATACTTCCACCACCCAACAGCCATGTGACACATGTGGTCTGGAGGGGTCTGCCCTTGTCTCTGTAGGACAGGGCTGTGGAAACTGCTGGCAGCTGTAGGCAGGTGAGGAAGAGATGTGCAGGGCAAAGAAACAACCCCCTTGGGCCTCCCCACTTCCCCTACAAGCGCAGCTGCTCTGGGACCAGAGCCACATGCTAACCTGGCCCTCCACCACCCACCACCCTCGAGTGTTGGTGTGCCCAGAGATCACCACTCAGGGGGCGCCTGCACAGTGGGGCGTGGTCACCCACACGTGTGCTCTGAGCCCACACCCCCACCCCAATCGACCCTGCAAGTGGGCCTCGCCAGTCTGCTCCTCTCTTGCCTCAGTTTCCCCAAGCTGTGTTAGGTAGGCCATGAGCCCCCAGAGGCCCTGCACTCACTAACGGTCGAGGGGCAGAATTTGTCTTTGTTGGCACCAAAGGCATACAGGCGGCAGCAAGAGGACGGGGTCAGCCAGTCAATGAAGTCATCCACCCAGGAAGAGGCAGGGATGGCCAGGTAAGACCTGAGGGCACATGGAGAGGAGGCTGGGGTAGGGGGACCAGGTGGGCAGTTCTTCTGGTGGCCCCAAGGTACTGGGTTTCCTCAGAGAGTCAGGAGGGGGCAGCTGGCCACTCACTCGTTGGGGAACTCAGTGGCGAACTGTATCTTCTGGGTTAAGGAGAAGCTGTCGCATCCTGCGCTCGAGCAAATGGCATTCATTCCTGCCTCACTGGAGAAGTTGTAGCCTCCAGTGGTGACGAAGTAGACTGGAGCCCCCACCTCAAAGTAGCGGTTCAGAAAGAGGAAATAGTCGAGCAGGTAGGAGTCCTGGAACAGAGGACGGCCAGTGAGGCTGGGGCCAGACTCACCCCAGGGGCGCACTACAGCTGGTGCTCACGGAGGTCTGCAGCACACCCAGGGGCGCGATCCAGCTCATGCTCACAGAGGTCCGTATACACTCACAGAAGTGTGTGCAGGAGGTACACACATGGGCGCACCTGCTCATAGAGACGTGCTCACAGAGGTGCGTGTGCACATCGTATCCTAATCACCAGTACACACACAGAGCGACATACTCCACCCCACGTGAATACACTCTGACAGGCATACAAACATGCATGCACGTGTAACACGATCCCTTCCTATTATCTCCCTTCCAGCACAGCCCACAGGCGTGTGCACGTGGAGACAGGTGGTGTGTCAGGCACCTGCATGGCCTGTTCCTTTCTCCCAAAACCTCTGAGCGCTGGAAGAGAAGACGGAGTACGAGAAGCCAGGAGTCCACCCCCGCCCCCAACCTAGACACAACTGCACAACCCATCTGATGGGGTCTGCAGCCCTGGGGGCAGTTGAGGGCTCACAGCTTCCAGGGAAAGGCCTGGATGGTGAACTGTGCTTCGTGTCAACACCTTCAGCTCCCAGCACATGCAGGTGTCCCAGGGGCAGTTTGTATACCGCTTGCGGGGTCCAGCGTGGGACATAAGGACCCCACACTCTATACATGGCGGATTTGCGTTCTGATTGCCGGTCACTGAGCTTCTGATCTCGGTGGTGCAGAGTCAGGCTATACCGTGGTCTCCCCCGCCTCCAGCTGGCCCGACTGCCAGGATATTTAAATGGCAAGTGACTGGCTTATTTTCCGCTTTATGTTTCCCCTTTTTCTTTTTTGGGGAGCCAGCCATTTAAGGAATAGGACATTCAAACGCAAATACCAAAGTCACCGCACATTACCAGGGAAAGGCACAGGCTCATCAGACTTTAATTTTATACCACAGGCTAATCTCCCGGACACAGACACAGCAACGTCACATTTGGGGGAAAAAAAAAAAAAGCAAACCTTAGAGAAGGGAGGAGAATCTGATCTTCAGAGTTACCATATGATACAACTCAACTGTGTGTTTTTCAACAACAACAAAAATCGCAAGACACACAATCAAAGTGTGGCCCATACCTAGGAACAAAAACTAATCAACAGATGATCTTGAGAAAGAACAGACAGAATCAGACAGAAACTTTAAAACATCTGTCTTGGGAATGCTTACAGAGCTAAAATAAGATACGGACAAAGTCAAGAAAAGAAAGTATGGACAAAGTGGAAAGACCACCAAATAGAAGACATAAAACGGAGACCAGGAACAAATTCCAGAGCTGGAGAGAAGGAGAAATACAGGAAAAATTCTGTTCATAGATGACATGATGGTATGTATATAAAACTAACATTCCACCAAAAAACCCCTTAAAACTGGTAAAGAAATTCAGCAAAGTGGCAAGTTACGAGATCAACACGCAAGAATCAGTTTCATTTCTATACACGAACAATGAATAACCCAAAAAGGAAGCCAAGGGAAGTGCAGTTATAAGAGCATAAAGCGAGGGGCGCCTGGGTGGTGCAGTCGGTTAAGCGTCCGACTTCAGCCAGGTCACGATCTCGCGGTCTGTGAGTTCGAGCCCCGCGTCGGGCTCTGGGCTGATGGCTCAGAGCCTGGAGCCTGTTTCCGATTCTGTGTCTCCCTCTCTCTCTGCCCCTCCCCTGTTCATGCTCTGTCTCTCTCTGTCCCAAAAATAAATAAACGTTGAAAAAAAAAATTTTTTTTTTAAAAATAATAAGAGCATAAAGCGAATAAAATACTTAGGGATTAACTTTACCGAGGGTGGAAAGACCCGCATGCTGACAGCCATGCCATATCTCAGAAAGAAATTAAGACACAAATAAATGGGGAGATGCCTGTGCCCACGAGCTGGGAGGATGAATATTATCCAGGCCACCAAGGAGCCTCCAGCTTCAGTGTGATGCTATCAAGATCCCAATGACGTTTCTTACAGAAATAGAAAAATTCATCTTAAAATTCATAAGGGACTCCAAAGAGCCAAAATAATCTTTAAAAAGAATAAAAGTTGCAGGACTCACATTTCCTGATCTCAAAACTGACCACAAAAGCACAGTAATCTAAGCAGTGAGGTGCTGGCATAAAGACAGACACACAGACCGATGGGACAGAAGACAGCCCAGATGTAAACCCTTGCGTGTATGGCGACATAGACTCTGACAAGGGTGCCAAGACCATTCTGTGGGGAAGGGGAGTCTCTTCAACGCTTGCTGCTGGGGACACGGGATGTCTACACACAAAAGAATGAAGTTGGACCTTCAAAAATATACATAACTATGCACAAAAATTAACTCCAACGGACCCAACACTTAAGGGCTGAATTTGTAACTCCCGGAGAGGAAAGCACAGGGGAAACCTTCCAGATACTGGGTTTGGTGATTATTTCTTGAATGACCCCAGAAGCCTGGGTAACAAATGGAAAAATAGGCAAATTGGAATTGATGAAAACTTTAAAAAGTTTTTTAAAAGGTTTTATTTTTAAGTAATCGCTACTCCCAGCACAGGGCCTGAACTCACAACCCCGAGATCAAGAGTTGCACACTCTGACTGGGCCAGCCAGGTGCTGTGAGAATTGAAAACTTCTGTTCATCAAAAGACATTTCTGATAGAGTAGAAAGGCAACCAACAGAAGTGGAAAAGACATTTGCCAATCATGTATCTGATTAAAAATACTCAGAATATCTAGAGAATTCCCAAAACTGAGCAAAGAGACAAACAAACAAAAACAACCAATCTGATAAAAAATGAGCAAAAGACTTAAACACACATTTCTCCAAAGAAGACACACAAATAGCCAATAAACATATGGAAAGATGCTCAGCATCGCTGATTATCTGGGAAATGTAAATCAAAACCTCAGTGAGATGCCCCTTCACACCGGGCAGGATGGTACTATCAAAAGGGGGGGGTGGGGTGCCTGGGTGGCTCAGTCGGTTAAGTGTCTGACTTCAGCTTGGGTCATGATCTCACAGTTGGTGGGTTCGAGCCCTTCGTCAGGCTATGCTGACAGCTCAGAGCCTGAAGCCTGCTTCGGATTCTGTCTCCCTCTCTCTGTGCCCCTCCCCTGCTCGTGCTCTTTCTCTCTCTCTCAAAATAAATAAATAAAGTTAAAAATAAATTACAGTTAGCGTTATCACGTGGCCCAGCAGTTCCTCCTCTGGGAACACACCCAGAAGAATGGAATGCAGGTTTGGAGAGAGATCTCTGTGCACCTGCGTCTGCAGCAGCCTCATTACAAACGCTGAGACAGGAAGGAAGCCTTGTGCAGAGACAGGGGTAAAGACAATGCAGAGTGTGTGTGTGTGCGCGCGCGCGCATGAATGTGTGAGCATCGTCAGCCTTGACAGGAAAGGACGCTCTGACACCAGAGAACCTGACGCCGAGTGGAAGGAGCCAGACACAGAA